ATAGAAACTCTGCAGGGAGGAGCAATCTACTTTGGACATAATAGCCTTATAACAGAACCTTTTGTAATGGAAACTATGCTTTCCGGGCTATTTTCAGGATGCATGTTTGTCAGAGTATTAATGGACATGGCAGTGTGGATTGTAACAATGTTCTGAGGCTCCAAAATAGTTCAAGTTATATTTTAAAAAGCTAATAATCTTTTCTTTTTTTGTACTTTTTTTAGCAACCAGAAAATAATATTCTCCCAAGTTTGTCCCAGTCTTTGCCAAAATCTGGTGAAGTACCTTCCATAGAGTAAGTAGTGATTTGAATTTTTTGTTGTTGTTGTTCTTGTTTTCTGTTAGCCGTGCATTACAAAAAAAAGTAAAGTTTGAAGCACTTTTAAAAGATGGTCTGATCTTCATTAGGAACAAAATGGATGGAAACAAGGCCCACAGTGAGCAGTTTTCAGGATTCGAATTTAACGTAAATAACAATGATATTTGCACTGAACAATTAAATAAGGCAACTGGTCTAATCATGTATTTCCTTTAAAAGTTTTTATTTATAGTGAAATCATCTGATGTATTCTTTATTCATGGCCTTCAAATTCTGTTTGGATTGTATCTTTAAATTTAATTTTATCCATAAGGGAACAAAAATTGTAATCAACATTTAAAATTTTTTTTTCACATTTTTCTTAGAGTTTTAAATTTTTGTAAGGAAACATTTTTTATGCATTACTGTATGTTATCCACCTTACTGAAATGTTTGTGCCTTGGGTTAACCTGCATTGATAACAAATATGTAATTTTTTTGAGAACACAACAACTTAGAGCTTTATTTATGTGAGTTTTTAGCTTATATCTAATCATCATTTAGTCTAGTATTAAAGAACGATCTTTTGTTTTTCTTAAACCAATGCCTGGCATAGCCTAGTGGTTAAGGCACTCAACTCATGAGTTTGAATCCTGTCACCATGGTTTCATTTTCAGCCATGGGGATGTTATAAGGTGACCATCGAGCCCACTTTAATAACCCAATAGTTGGTGTTGGGTGCTGTTGGCTAGCTGCCTTTCCTCTATTCTATCAGTTCTAAATTAAGAACAACTATCACAGATGGCCCTAGAGTAGCTTTGTGCAAAATTCAAGAAACTTAGACCAAAAACAATGATATGAAAAGCAAAATTATTGTTATTGTTAGGATAATTATTGTTTATCGTCTTTTTAGCAGTGATTTCAACAAATAGTAGCATCAGTATGTAGATTGTATGTCATACAAAATCTTTGATTGTCAGTATTTGTGTTTTTTTTTGTATGGCTTGATAATTTTTTAAAGTTCAGGCTTTAGTGATCACAGGAAGTGATTAATTTCAGTTTAATCTTAATTTGATGTTTTATTAATTTGTGGACTGAAGCTCTAAGAGCTGTCTCTATACTACACAGTTGTATCACTCCGGAAGAATAGAGCAAAATACAAACTTAAGAAACTGTTTCCTTATGATTAATCAAACAAGTGCTTTATTGGTAATTTTTCTTTTTTTTAAAGATCTCAAAGTAAATCATCCGATAAAACGATATGGTCTCACACTTAAGAAACTTCTCATTCCAGACCTTATTTATTCAATCTTGAGATCATAAGTTGTTCCAAATATAATAGGCTTAATTCTCATTTGTTTAGCCCAGTGGTTAACATACTGGACTGTAGATCTGAGATTCTGTGGCTCATGCCCTGTCGCTGTGAAAAAAAAAATCATATTCCACACAATGGGGCCGCGGTTGTGATATAAGAGTGATGGTGAAATCACACTCTTCCGTTTGACAAGAGTTGACAATGGGTGATGTTGACTAGGGAGAGCTAGCAGAGGTAGCCATTGGGTAGCTTTGTGTGCAATTCAACAAACAAACAAATCTCATTTGTTTAATAACATATATATATTACTATAATAAAAAGCTGTATATAATTTTAGAGGATGCCTCTAAAATTCAAATTTAAAAATAGTTATCTACCACATTTGCTAAAGTTGGTATAAAAATATGCAGTTAAACAAAGTGAATAAAAATAAAACAAATTTTCCCTAAGTAAACTAATAAATGTGCAACTTGAATTTTGGCAATTGTAAACAAAAATATTTTTTGTAAAAGATTAGAATTTTCCTATCAAATATTAATGGTGCTACACTTACTGGTCTTCTCAAAACTTTTGTTGTTGTTGTTTCATTGTATGTGATTTTCTAAACTGACCAAAAAAAAATAGCATGATTTAATTCCAATGGTTCAATTCATCATGTTGATGCCAATATGGTGCAAAAACCACAAAAATAAAATCCTAAAGAGGATAATTATATTTTTATTTTAGTAAATAAATCTTTCTCGGAAAATTAACTTCAAAATGTGTATTATTACATTACTCACCTTTTGCTCTGTTTGTAATAGAATTTAGTTAGGATTTTGATTCAGTCTGTAATTTATTTTTGAGGTGGTTATTGTGAGAGATTGGTTCATTAACTTTTGGTCGTACATAGTAGTTGCTGTGATTTTAAAAGTGAATGCTTATTTAGAATTCCAGATCATCTCATTGTTGTGAATATAGACCTGCAGATTTTCGTATTCCTTTTTTCGATTTGGCAGTGTTTATCCCTTGGATGATGAAAGTAGTTTGATGCATATTGCCATGTCCAACAACACCGGTTCTCTGCCAGATTTAACCAATTTGCAGTTTCCTTCACCTCTTGCTACCCCAATTGATATAGAGGATCACACAGGAGCATTGGTTAGCTCCTCCTACAGCCCAAGAAATTCACCACAAGCCATTTCTGGAAACTTTCCTTCATCATTGTCTCCGCAACAGCAGCATGTACATATTATTGGTGGGTTTTCATACCTTTCATCTATTCTGTAATTTTAATGATTGCTTGACCAATTTTTTATATTCTACACAAAATGTTTAATGCCTTCAATTTATAATAATAATGAATCATTTCACGGGTTGAGAAGGTTTTCACACAGAAAATATTAGAAACTTTTTTGAAATGGAACTTCAGTCACACATTTATATTTCTTTATGTGAATGTATACGTTTACAGTATCTTCTTATGGTACTTGTGAAAAGCATTCATTGAATATGTTTGGATGCATGATTTTGGCTGCAGGCTCATCCACACAACCCTTCATCTGGAATATGTCTATTTTATTACTTGCAGAACTCTCAAAAATATAGAATCTTGGAGCAAAGATGCTAATCAAAGCAGTTAATGATGCGAGAATTCCGTGGATGTTCTGTTGAAATATCGCAGCGTGGGAACTTCAGAGAGAGACTGTAAAGCAATTATTACTGTCATAAATGTAGAATAGCCTTGTTTACCAGCATAGATTATTAACTTATTTAACTAATCATTGAGAAAACGATGTTCAACTAATAATCAGAAATTTTTCCAGAATCTTCAAAACCTACACTGGTTCCTTTCATTATTCTGTAAAATTATTAATTATTATTGTTTTAAACAGTTATGTAATACACTATCATGTGAGAATGCTCAGTACTGTACAGATATAATTTGACATAAACAAATTTATTATTATTATTTTCAGTATTTGAAGGATTAGTTAAATTTTCTGCATTGAGAAATTATTTTGTTCTCTCTCTCTTCTTTATATTATCATTTTCTAAAAATTCTACTTCTATTTTAAATGTTTGTTTTCATTGTTAAATACTTGGAAATGAACTTTAAATTAAAAACAAAATTATAATTTATTATAATACACAAATAAGTAAATTTTGATTTATTACAATAAATGTAAACTGTTTATTAACTGAAAAAAATTCAGTGCTTAAATGAGTTATGTATATTACAAGAACACGTAAAGTATACAATAAACTGGAAACACAAAACCACACAAAACTTATCAAAGGGGATAAGACTGAAGGTTTTTTGAGCTTTTAGTTTTGTGGTTCGTCTTGATGTGTGATATGGTAAAAGATATATATGTTTGTATAATCATACCAAAATATAATTTGTGTATGATGTATGGCATTGATAGACTGTTTTTGATACTGTTTTTAAGACAATGTTTTAGCTAAATACAGCTAAATGAATGTTTACTCCAGAAGTGGTATAAATAGCACCACTAAAGGGTATGCAATGATTGAGAAAGACATGTATTTATTTAAGTGATATTTGGTCATATTTTCATAACTTGTTTTTGGATTGTAAAAACATACCTGATTTGTATTTTGAATGAGATCTTCAGGTAGTCGTGTACTTTAAATTATTGATGGGGTTAAAAGATACTAATGATTAATATTATATTTAATTCTGTTTTGTCTTGCATTTTTTTATTTTCTCAGTATTCATATGATGTACCTGTCTTGAATCAGTGAGGTGTTTTTTTTCTTGTAACTAAACCATTTTTGCCTATTTTTATTTTGTGATACAAAATGTTTTACACACAGAATATTTTTTTTTATAAGATATGCAATTGTGATGAACAGTTATATCCAAAGCCAACTTCCCACTACATTTTATTTTCCAATGAAATTTTTTGTTGTATCTTCTTCTATCAGCACCCTAATCTTGCATTGAAAAATACATCTCCAGATTTGTTACAATAATCAAAAAAGAGGAAGACATTTTGAAGTTTTGTGAGCATTTTTTTGCTGCACAATTGTGATAAATAGCTCTGACACTCTGCAAGTTTGTTAATGTGTTTTTTTTATAAGTTTAATGATTTTTTGTTTTTTCTCTATATTTACTTATTCTGATCTGTAGGACCTGAAATAAATGAAGTAGGTTTAACCCTTCCAAGTTCCAGTGGGGAGCGAGGGGGCAGCCGGCATTCTAGTCCTGGTCCTTCTCCATCTCCATCTTCGCGACATCGTCATCATCATAACCAGAACATGTTGGTTATAGGTAGTGGTAGTTCTAGAAGTCGAGGGCATCAGCATGGTTCCCATACCCTAAAACAACAAGTAGGTTATAATCGACCTTCAAGACATGACATGATTCAAATGACAGTGGGGGTAGGGTAAATACCAGGATCCTGAGTACTATCCACATGTTCTAAATTATACATATTAAAACACCGTGACATTAAAAAATAGAGCCAATAAAAGAGAAGTCTGCATCTTTGTTTTACTATTTTTTTGTACCACTTGGGCTGTTTGTTCTCATGCATTTGTTGTGATGTACAAAAGACTTTTTATTACCGAAAGAGATCGTACGAGTTTCACATTTCTTTTGTTATAAATGATGTATTTGTACTGTGATATGCCTGCATTTATGTGCATGTTTTGATTGTTACTGTCTAATTTATATGATAGTGCTAGGAGTTATTTTTTACTTGACAAATTCCTATTTACGATACTTATTAAATCTTAATCTCACTGTTCAAAATATTTCCTCAGAAACATATGACACAGTTAGTAAACCTAAAAACTACTTATGATCCTTATTAAAGTTTAATCTCAACTGTTTTAGAAAGTTCTTTGGACATATTTTAAACTTTCCCATCTTTTAAGGGTATTTCTTATAATTTGTATTAGTTTATTATCCTTTTTAAGGTTCTTAAAAGGAAATAAGGATTTTTTTAAACTTATTATTGTGCTAAATATAACTTGATTTTAATATGTTTTGTGAACTATACCTGATTTCAGTACAAACATATTTATTTTTTTGAGAAATTTAAGAAGTGGTTACAACATTTTACTGCAAGAGTTTTAACCATCTTTTGATTATAATTATGCCTTTAATGCTTACTATAGTTGAACTTGTAACAACTATAGAATTTTGTTTAGAAGTTGACACTGTCTTCTCTTCAATAACAAAATGAAATGATTAGCATAATGAATCAACTAAAGAGTTAAAAAAAAAAGAGATTAAGATTTTAGGTGAACTTTTACGAAACCCTCATATAATGGTGGTGTGGCAGGTATCAAACCTGAATAGGATTGGTGTAAGGTTATAAAACATATGGATAAGTGTCAGGTGCCGAGGAATTATGACTATTGAAAAGTTATGAAGCTGTTCATTCACTTGCACCTGGAGCTTGAAGTTATCGTAAGTTTATAATATAGGTGGCATTTTGAGTCAGAAATCCTTTTTGATTATGTTACCTTGTGCATGTAGACAGCTTTTATAACTGACCTTTGTGTTTGTGATCACATGTTACAAGACCCCACACTTTGCTTACAGTGGATAGAATATGACTTGTTACAAGTATATTCCACATTCCTGTGTTACAAGTATATTCCACATTCCTGTGTTTTTCAATGGATATCTCTATCTTGTAGACAGCTTTTATAACTGACCTTTGTGTTTGTGGTCACATGTTACAAGACCCCACACTTTGCTTACAGTGGATAGGATATGACTTGTTACAAGTATATTCCACATTCCTGTGTTTTTCAATGGATATCTCTATCTTGTAGACAGCTTTTATAACTGACCTTTGTGTTTGTGGTCACATGTTACAAGACCCCACACTTTGCTTACAGTGGATAGGATATGACTTGTTACAAGTATATTCCATATTCCTGTGTTACAAGTATATTCCATATTCCTGTGTTACAAGTATATTCCATATTCCTGTGTTACAAGTATATTCCATATTCCTGTGTTACAAGTATATTCCACATTCCTGTGTTACAAGTATATTCCACATTCCTGTGTTTTTCAATGGATATCTCTATCTTGGAAATTCTACATCCTCAGTGAATACATTCTTATGAATCTGAGAATATGTATATCTTGCATTAGAAAAGGCTGTTACGTACTCTTCCCAAAAAATGCTAAAATTTTGGTGGTATCACACTACCCATGAAGTAACGAGCAGTGCCAAAATGTAGTTCTGTTAAATTCTGTATTTCGCCGTGACTTTTTATTAGTCGTGACATGACGTGCTGACTTACATATTCAGAATCATTTTAATTTAGCGTACTCAATCCACTGTAGTGCTAACCTTGTAAAAAAGAATAATTTGACATCTCAACCCTTTTGATTATCTGAAATAAAATATTCACCTCTTTGTTAATATTCATTAGTTGATATTAATTGTTAATATATATACACAACACAAACAAAATTAAACTGTATTCCTTTGGATTTTATTTTGCTTGACTGTTTAAGTAATAATTTTTCATATATATATACATACATTAAAAACACACACGATTTTTTAAAATTAAGACGTGTATGTTTTACCATTTACACTCATATAATTATTTATCAGTAACATTTAAACAATGTTTTTATATACATTGTTGAATGTATTTAAAAACAATAGTGCTGTTAATCCAAAATCAGTTGTAAACCTGCTGTACTTTTTTTTAGTAATACCCATTCCATTTTTATTATTTCGATCGTGGAACTACCAACTTCTCACTTCTTGGCATGTGTATGATCTTGTATTCTTAGTTTATGGTTTCCTTTAAGTTTTGTAAGCATTGTTTCACTGCTATTGTTCAATGTTCTACAGAAGATTCAAAGCTAAAGTGGAAAACTAGAATTAACATATTTATGCCTGATCAATCTTGATTGTTTTATGTGTGTATTTTTGAATTGAAGTGTTTGGTTTGATTACTCACTCAACATGTGCTTCAAGTTTTCTTTCTGCAAATAAAGTCTTCATATGAATGTGTGTTTGTATACACAATCATCTGTGCAAGTTCTGGCAATGATATATTGACATATACATACATGTGTTGCATGGTGTTTTACAGTTGGTAATTATTTAATAACACTCTACTTACCTCGTGTTGCTTGAGCAATGATATTACAAATCTACTTTTTAGACTTGTTTAAAAATAAAATAGCAGAAAGATGCATACAGATTATTATAATGACAAGCAGAGTGGAGATGGATTTCATGTTTATAATGATATCCTATTGTACATTTTTAACTTTTTAAGCCTTTGAGCATATACAACCACATGAAGGAGTAGAATATTCTTTGTGGTATTCTTGTAAAAACCATACGAATTACATTTTTTGATTAGTTCATGATTTCTTAAATAAGACAATATTTAGTGATAATTTGAAGTAAGCTTCCCTGAATATTTGTTTTATTATATGATAGTCTAATTTAAAAAAATATGAAATATATAAAAATGCTCTATAGATGCAGGTATTCATCAATTATCATTTAAAAGCGGCCAACTTATGTAACTCAGTTAAAATTTCTAAATGGTATGTGCACATTAAAATTCACTGAATTTTTAAAGTATTTGTAAAAGAGTGTTTGCCATTTCGGTGAAATTTTAAAAACATGGTGATTTTTTTTATTGTACTAGAAATAAAAAGTGATACCATTACATGTAAAATATATCTCTAGCTAAAACAAAGATCAAATTACAATTAGGACACTTTTTGTAAAAAATCAATAAAATAAAATAAATAATGGCTATAAAGAATGTGGGTTTTGGTTTCTTAGATTTGACAAACACCAAAGACAACTTTTACAGAAGCTATCAATTTTCTTTATTTCACTTTCATCATCACTAAAAGTTACATTGTAATAACCTTTTTTTTTTTAGAAAGGAAACATTTCACTTACAGATGGTTATAAAGTAGATTTGAGCATTTGGAATAGTCTGTAGGATGAACCTAGGAACACATAGGCAGTGTATTTTGTACACATGTGTAAGGATTTGTGAAGAGAGCTTTCCTCTGGTTTCTAGAAATGGTAGGGTACACATTGTTTTATGATAATTAGACTGATATGTAAACACAAAGGAGAACGGACAACCGTTATTCTATTGCTAGTAGCGGAAGGCACAATATAAAGTTAAACTTGGAACAACAGGTGATGAAATACCATCAAAATGCTAACAGAACTGAGCAACACTCTTAACATACTACTACAAAATCAACACATGCACAGCCATAGCTTTCAGAAGATTGATTAGCTGATTTTTTGCACACTCGTGTCATCCCAGAATTCCAGTCGTATTGTGATCTCTCTTCTGGTAATATCATTGTTTACATGAACTTTTGGTGAGGGCCAAATCTTTGCTGCTATTTCCATAATGCCTGCCCATGTAGGTGGGATAATGGGAGGCAAGGGGGGAGTAGTTGCCCCCAGTTTTTGTTTCTGCGGGTTACGGTATACACACAACATTCATAATAATTAAGTCGGACTTTTAGTCCTAAATGCTGCCCACCACACCTCTGTTTGTTATTAGATTAAATTTTTTTCTTTTAAATGTTGATCTATCATAAATAGATGATAACCCTGGTTGATAACCAGGAAATGGTTGATAACCCTGCAACCATTTCTCAATTAGAGGATACCATTGAACAGAAATTTGAACAATTCCTAAATTGAAAATGATAGTGTGAACATTGAACAGCTGCTATAGTGCCATTTTCAGAAAATAACTGGAATTCATATCCTGTTATCTATTATTCATTTAGAAAATATTCTTCTGATATAACTTGCACAGTTTGCTCTACAGGCTGTTTTAAGTAATCGTAATGATTTTATTTTTCATCAGAGACAGATACAAAGATGCATGTAAACATGAGAACCGGTAATTATGATGTTAGCTTAATGTTATGGAAATTCACAGCAGTTTTTCTATTTTTTTTAATTACTCCATGAATTGAAAAATAATAAATGAAGTTCAGCAAAATAAAGACAATATTTGAAGAAGAAAAAAAAACTGATTATTTTGTCGTTTAATGTGTGGGGATTAATGTTTTTAACTTGCATTAATACATAAAGAATAGTTAGATGCAAAACAATTCTTGAAGGCATACTTCAGTGTTGTGCACATATGGGACAGGTAAGCCTTAAGTTAAAAGAATTTTTTTTTTCATTTTTTTTTTCTTTCTTTTTTTAACTCAAATTTTTAGTTGGAATTTTGATAAAACCAGTCGAAGTTTAATTTTTTTAGGGTTTTAGCAAATTAATAATTCTTATTAAATTAAAGGATTATTTATTATTACCTGAACTGAATCAGATATGACCAATGTTCCCTCTAATTTTTTCAATCCATGTGCAGAATGAATTTTTTCATGTGCACTAGTATCAAGGCAATGTGTGGATGTGTGCTACCAGTTTTTTTAGGGGGGCGTATATTTTTAGACCCATCAACCCTTTTTGATTATTAGGCTGCTTTGCAGTGCTACCAGTTGGTTATTTGGCTTTAGGCCTATCGACTGCCAGGGTCATTAAGGTTGTCAATGTATTGAGACTCCTCACCATTACTGAGGATGTGCGCGGCTGGAATAATGAAGTGTGTGGCACTTGACTGGTGGCCGCAACCGTGCAGCTTAGAGGGAACATTGGATATGACTATTAAAAATTGTAGTAAATTTAAGGTTTTTCTCATCCAATTAAATATTTACTTATATTTTTATTATATACTTGTTGATCAGTTCCAAGCCTATTTCTTGCCTGTGTTTAATTTTATTAGGAAGTACTTAATTCGGGTAACTTGCAAATATTAGTCAGCGCAAAGTGACTTAGCGACACAAGTAGGGAATGTTAAGTCCTAACATGAAGAAGTGGTGACTACATGTGTTAGGAGAATTCTTTAATCCCTAATCCACTCTGCTGTTATTATTAGATTATAACTATGAAGAACAAATTAAGCATGCTGACTTAAGACTAGTTGGCAGCTCCACCTGGTTGTCAAATGGCATAACTCTCCTGGGCTTTCTTTACTTCCACTGCTTTTTCCTTTTTCCCGTTTTTTACTAATCCTAAAGAACTATGGAAATGTGTTTATTTTTGTTTTCATAATATGATCTATTTTTATATATATTTAAAATCAATTAACTGCTTATGTTTTTACAGTGAGTTCTAAGCTAACTTTTTTTGTTTTTTAAGCTATTGATCATTAAATTTATTCAATTAGAATCAGATATAATTCCTCAAACGTTACTTTGATTTTTGATTCAATACCATGATCTTTATATACTTTTTAGTTTCTTTAAAGAAAAAGTGTGTATTTAAAAACTTGTAAGAGTGTAAACTTTAAGAGCATTTATAGTTTTGGTATGTAATAAGGTTTGTTATTTCTGTGCATTGAAACCTATGTTCTCAAGTGTGCCAGGGCTCAAGAAATTTATTAAGGATTTTTAAATGTCTGCCATAATCTAGAATTCTACATTCTTTTCAGTTTATTTTGTGACAATGTTCTGTAGTAGCCAAAGACAAAAATATTATAATTTCTAGGATCATATTTATGTTCAGTTACTCTTATACTATTATATTGTTTGCCAAGTATAAACCATTTAGCAGTAGCATAATAGTGCCTTATTAACAGACTAAGCAACTTGCTACATGTGCTGTATAAGTACAAAATGTGCATTATTGAGTTTCTTTGTAGCTGGTTATGGACTTTCATGAAAGTTCTAGGTAAAGTTTGTTTTGTAGAGCAATGAACACTTGAGATATTATTATACAATATTGTGTTTCTCTGTGCTGTTGTTTTTACCTGTCTGTGCATTTAAAGAAAAACAGTATTAAATGCATATGTATTTGTTTGCATCAGAATGTGTTCAAAGACCTAAATTGTAGGTGCATAAAGTCAAAGTAGTTTGTTTTCTTAGGGGATGTCAAAAGAAACGAAAGGTCTATCTTTAAACACCTACACTCAGCAGACTAAACTTGGTGTATATCCTGAACAACAGGCCTATCCTACTTCTTGTGATTCTTATGGAAATAGATCAGGAACATTATCCCAGGTGCCTTTATATTATCATGAGTTCAGTGTGTGTGTTTTTTTTATGTGACTATATTGCCATAATGAAAATGTATATAAGTTAATTCTCTTGAATATTTATCCATTTGATCTAGGCCTAATTTCCTTTAAAAAAAGTTATTGTAATGTATTATTCATTAACCACCCTCAAGTCTTGTGATAAAGTAGATAAAGATGTAATGGTTAATTGAGGGATAAATTTGATATTTTTTAAATGATGAATTAAATTTTTGAGTGTTTTTCTTATATTTTCCACTGGTATTTAATTGGAAAACTTTTATCTATAATTTTTTCAAGAAAAATAAGATGCTTTCATTAAATGAATTGAAAAAACAGCACCGAGTAGACTACTGTTGTACTGTTATCCAAGTACTTAAAGCTATTGATCAAATAATTAGTTGCACAAATTGCTTGTCATATTTAGGTTTAACCTACTGTAGTAGTTTCAGAATGTACATGTAAATCTTGTCTCTTTTGCTTCTTTCTACCAATAAATATAATACATACATGTATATTTTAATTTAATCTTCTTGTAGGTTTCTATTGGTCTGTATCATAGTAATGGCCCACTTGACCATTCGTGTAGTGCTCCAACATCACCAGTGGCCCACAGTGTATCCCCTGTAGATTCATGTGAATTAGGGTCAAACCTTTCCTTGAGCAAGAGCCCTTTCACCGACACGGACTACTACTTCCAGCAGCATCAACAACCAGCAACAACTCTTCAACAGCAGCAGGAACAGGTGAAAATGTTGAATGAAACAGCTGAACAGAAGGATCAGATTTCCATTGTAAGCTCTTTCTCTAATACCCTTCTTCTTCTTCATAGGTTACATCATATTTCACTAAGAAAACTATTTGTGATAAAGAAAAACATTAAATACATTACGCAGTTTATTGTAAAGTAATACATCTTTTTTTTGATTATGTAGAAAATAAAGTTTTTAATACTCAAGAAAAATTCTTATTGCTGATTTAGACAGAAAACATTTTATGATAATTATGGTCTTGTATAGTTGAATAATGTCATTTTATACTAGTAATTGATTCATTTTTTTAGAAAATGTAATTTAATAATAAAGCAAAACACAAACGTTATAATATGAAGCATTTATTAAACATTTCGAATCTTCAAAATTCCATCTTCATTAATCTAAAGTTACAAAACAAACTCAATGGTAATTACAACAGAAATATGATACAAGCTGTAATACATAATAATTAAACAATTTCAATGTAAAAAGTATAGTGAGAAAATGGAAATTATTACAGTACAAATGAAATAGTTAAATTAAAATATATTTAAATCAAGAGAAGAATGTGTATTTTTTAGGGATGGAAGAAGAGTTTTTATGTATAACGTCTCTTTTATTAGAAGTTCAGTATTATGTTTGGCTGTTGAGAGAATTTTAAAGTTGTAGAGAGAAATCGGATGCCCTGTTTCTGTATCGTGGAGAAAAATAGTGGAGTTGGGAGGGTTTGTAACTTTTCTTTTAGTTTTATAGATATGTCCATAAAATGGGAGATCACAGGGTGATCACACAGTAAACCTGAGTTTAAATAAACGACTGAGGTTTAAAACTAAGAGGATAAACATACTGGACATCTGACATAAACTGTGGTAAATCTGCAGGCTCATAATGCTAAAAACTGGGTTTCAGTACCCTTGGAGGATGCAGCACATATAGCCTGTTGTGTAGGTTTGTGCCTGACAATAAAAAACATACTTGTGTAAGTCACTTTTCTATTGGACTTGTGAATTAATCAACATTTGTAGTCTCTCGAGATGTATATCCATTAAGCAATTTAAGTCGATGATCAAGCAGAACTGTGGATAGATCTATCTTGACTAAAACTGATGCTCTGTCCTAAACAGGAAACCTTGTTTTTACCCATAATCTGTTTTCTTATAACATACAAAGGCTGTAACCTTTAGATACTATCAACTTGGCCACTGAAGGACATTGCTGTCAATGACCTATTCTACGCAATTTGAAAAGTAGATACTACCTGCTAGACAACAGCAAAAAAACAACTGGTAACTGGAATGAAACAACTCAACAGTTTTAAGGACTATTTGCTTCATAGAATCAGACTAAAGGAATTATTATTATTTTTTAAAGTGGGTTTTCTCAGGGATCTCCCATTTCCCCCCCACAACAAATTCTATAGCACTCTTTGATTTAATGATCCCAGCCTTCTGTATGGGGCATTTGTTACAGAGTGCCTTGTCAGATGCTGTTGCTTCTTCTTGTCAACATCGTCATCAAACTTGATCTTCTTTCTGCCTCCTGAACCTCCAGATATTTCTCAAGTCATCATATCTGCCTAATTAATAGTCATGACCCATCTACGAAACTTTATTAACCCCAAGAACTTTTTCATGTGCGGGGCAAAGGGGGATATCAATATCCTTGAACACCCCAACTTAAGAAAGTGTATTTCTGTCCTTTAAAAACTAAATCCCTGCCACAGTTTTTTTTCTTTTTTTAAGTTCCTGTATTAATAAAAGTAGGTAGAAAACATGTTTTCATATCACACTATAATATGAGGTGTTTAAAAGGCTATCATGCAGGAAGAACAGACTTTTGGCATTTTTACAAAGGATGAAGTGTGCACAAAAAAAAACTTGTAATCTTTAATAATTAAGAAACATCCTTCATCTGTACATGGATTGAATAAGCTTTGGATTATCACAATCTATGCAGTGTGTTTTAAATTAAACATATTTCAAAAGTTATGCATATTAAACTTATGAACTCTGCTTACTTTACATTATACTATGCTTAAGAACAATTAGACACAATAGAAGCACAGTCAAAATTGAGTCTTCAGTGCACAATAGCTATTCCACATGTGAACAGGATATTGGAAGTGATATTAACTCTATACATCTAGGTGCTCTGATTGGATGCCTCTGTTGTACTAGTTGTTTCGAAAAACAAAACAACAACATCATAATTCAAGTGAAGTATAAAATGATAATTCAAGCTTTTCATTCACTTAGAAAATAAATTCACTACTGCAGTTCTGGAAGAAGTTGTTCACAAACACTTTTTTCTTCTAGCAATGTATCACCAAACAAACCTTCTAGGACTTTGTTCTGATCTCTACACAACTATCTGCTGAAGTTGAAGTGAAAGAGAGACTATTGTTTCTTGAAGCTGAGATATAAGCAGTTACATCACACCATAACAGCTGAGGTTGTGAAATGGTTATTGGCTAAAAATTGATAAAACTACACACTTATTCAAGTTGCAAGGTCAAATTAACACTAATTTGTTCAAAACTATTATGAATTTTCCTCCTAGGTGCTACAAGTGCTTTACAATGCTCAAAAAAAAAATTCAGGAAATTCACTAATACTAATAATTTTGTTTGGAGTACACTAATGTCAATCTAAAATCAAAAGTTGCTATTTCTAATGAACATTGACATATGAAATTAAAAAAACTTTTTATTAAATAAGATTAAACATTGAACTTTTTTTTTAATGTGTGGAATAATGACGACAAACTTATAATTTGATTTAATTCAGTGGTGCACTCTTGCTCTTGACTGTCACTCTAACAAACATGACCCATCGCAGCTTTCTTACACATGTTTTAGATCCTATTTCTCTTTATAAATGAACGGGAGTCGTATACCTGTTAGCAGATTGTTCTGGTTTATATACGTAGGTGAAACAGGACATAACCTAGTTAATAACATAAATGAGCATAGGAGGAGTTTGTTATCATTGAAGTTCCCAATTAGCAGAACACATACAAGATAATTTACATAATATTGAGTGATTTGCTGAGAAGGCAATAGAGAGCAGCACCTTCAAACTAACACATAAAGTAAAATAAAATAGCCATACACTTTAGCTGAACAACTGTATGACCAGAAAAATTGGCTTTCATTCATTAAACATTAACTCCCACTATTGATTAATTAGATGTGATTTTAAGATTATTATTATTACTTAAGTTTTTTCCTGTTTAGGGTTTAAATCTTCTCACAAAATTATTCTAATACTTCTTATTTTATAATTGATTTATTGTAATCTCCGTGTTTTTGTTATCTGTTTCACCAGTTACAGTGTTTTGTCAAGATAATTTAAATTGCATTGTTAAAAATGTTCTCATACTTCATGCCTCATGTTTCAGTGTTATTTAGAACAATATTTTCTTTATGTTTCAAAAAAATGCATTTAGTAATAACTATTCCCATGAATTTCCCTGATGATGGTGAAGTGTACAGTCACTGAAATGTTGTGAAATAAACAAAATATACCTATTTAGGTGCTGTCAATATGGATAATTATGTTAGGATTTGAAATACTTGACATAAGTAGGTATAAGCTTTATGCTGGAATAACATTTTCTGATTGGTTGAATAACAACCGTAGTCAACACATGACTTTACTTTGGTGCAGTTCATTTCATAATAAAGGGGTAGCATACCAATAGTATTTGCCATTTACACCATTTTTTTTTCTTACCATTTCAAAAATTTTTCCAGTGTTGGATATGAATGTATATATAATGTGTGTTTTAGAATTTTTAATATGTTTAGAGAAAAAAAAAAGTTATAAGTATTGTATTCTTATAACTGATTCATAGCCTTGATTATTTAGTGTCTTAGAATGTGGTGAATTTGAAAATGATTGTTTGTGGAATTGTGTAGTTGTAAGGTGTACAGTATTAAATGTGTAAAAATAAGCAAATTAAGTGTCTTATGAACTAGTTATTTAACAGTCTTGCATTGCCCATATGAAGTGCTTATACTTTTTTGATATACATGTAATTATCATCATATCTAAAAAATGTTATTAATAATTTGACTTTTTTTGTATAGTTTATTTCATGAACTATATGAAAAGCTTACATAATATTTTATTTGTATAGTTCACATATTAAATTGTTCTTGGTTTTGTGAGTGTTCTTTTTGTTTGGGTGCTTAGTTGTTATTATCTGGCCTGGTATGGCCAGGTGGCCAAGGCGCTTAACTCGCAATCTGTGGGTCATAGGTTCGAATCCCTGTCCCACCAAACATATTCACCAGTTCAGCCATGGGGGCATTATAAAGTGACAGTCAATCTAACTATTCCTTGGTAAAAGTTTAGCCCAAGGGTTGACAGTGGGTGTTGATGACTAACTGCCTTCCCTCTAGTCTTTCTCTGCTAAATTACGGATGGCTAGTGCAGATAGCCCTTGTATAACTTCGCACGAAATTTAAAACAAAGAAACAAAAACAAAATAATGTGATTATCTAGTCTAATAATTTTATACTATTATACTTTATTTTGGCAGCTTGCAGACAACATTTCTTCTGGCAATAGCCCTATGTCACAGACCACCTCTGGGATTGGATATGTGGACGTTGTAAGACTGTTTGATAAGAAGGCAGAGCTTGTGGAAGGAACAAAATTACTTTATCCTGATGTGTTTGCCCAAGGTCTTCTGGGTGATCAGGAAACTCTGGAGATGGCCATCCAGTTCTATGGCATGGTTTCATCAGGATCAGAAGCTTACATACAGTCTCCCCCTTTTTTGTCTTCTTCAAATGTGTTACCTTCAAATCATCCCACAACCCCTAAGACTCCTCAAACACCCACTAGCATTCCTGATATTGTTCTCACAGGTATGGCTGAATGTAAATTGTTTTATAAGTTTATACATGGTTTTATAAATAGATTTTCCAGCCTTTACTATCAGTGCACTGTGAATATCTTCTGAAACTATTGACCTACAAACAAGGTTTCCCAATGACTCGCCAGTCATGAATGACATCCAGAAAAGTAACTACTAAAACAGTTACTGACTTGGTCATAAAACTAAACACACTGTTAAAAAAAGGTTTCTAAGTCGTTTATAGTTCTTAATTTTAACTTATTATATTCTACTATATTTTGAGGGTCCTCTATTTCTTTCTGCGTACGTTAGAAAAGTAAGCTTAGCAGTTACATGACAGTTACATTGAAATCACCTCTAGTGCTACAGGAATACTCTGTGAACATACAGACATGAAGAATATTTTAATCAAATCAAAGTCAAACCAGATGAACAAAGCTAGGCAGGTCTAGCCAACATGCACTGTAAACCAAGTGCAAAGGTGAATATGTTTCTTTTAGGTTTACATAATTGGGAAAGTAGGTGACGGGATGTTGTATACTTTGGAAAGGTGATAAAAAACACTACTAATTAAAATGTTTTACAGAATGTAAAGAAAAAAACCAGCAGATTAGATAACATGAAGTGGTATGAAGAAAATTAGTGTTTTTTTTTTCCTAATAAAATATGATACAAATACAATGATAAAAATTAAAAATAATAAAATTAGATACATTAAACATTCTAACCAATACTGTTAATGAAAGTAACATGAAAGAAAAAAATAGAGTATACCTAACTTAAGGAACACACACACAAACATTAACTGTTAGTTTCAAGTATTGTCATAAATTAATATTTGTTTGACAACATAACATTGGTATTACCGTATATATAAGCAGAACTTTCCACAAACTTCTGTCCAAACATCTTGTGACCAATGAAAATTCATTGAACAGTGTAACTTTAAAATAGTTTGGCATCTGATATAGATTGCTACGACACACGTTACTGTTTAGGTGTGGAGCGAAATAGCTAGAATATTGGTTCCGTAATTAAAATATAATAATGTCAAATGTTTAACACACTATGAGATGTGTCTAATGCTACTCCACTTAAACTACCATCACTTAATGCATGGAACAAGTAACAGGAATTAATGAATAAAGTTAAATGTTCTGTAAAACTCAAAAAGTAAATTTTATAAGCCTCAAGAAAATTTGATAATAATAACATTTACAAAGGGAAGTTATGAGAATTGTAAAGATGGCAGATAAAATAACTAGCGAAAAACAAGTGTAACTTAATTACTAATGTAATTTCATACCATATACGGAGCCGTTTTATAACTAGTATTTATTAACTATATACAAATAGAGCATAAACACAGAGTAGGTAAAATTAATGGTGGTAAATACACTAAAAGGTTTACTGTTACCTTAAAACTTCTCAAAGGAATTAAATGTTGACATGAAAGATTTTAAAATGTTGTGATATTCTGTAAAACTTCTAAACCTAATGTAGATGGCCCATTGTGTAGCTTTATGCTTAGAAACAAAGGAACACTCCCACATATGTAGATAAACAGCTTTCTCAGTGTCAGGTTTTGGGTTCTAGCTAAGACTTGATGAGTTGTCACAAAACCAGAAGAAGAGCCAGGAGAAGATGCTAAGAAACACTATCAATTTCCCATCTCGTGAGCAAGAGAAATCTGCTCAGAAACACTATCAATCTTCTATCTCCTGAGCAGGAGAAGTGTCCTAAGAAACACAATCAATATTCTATCTTCTGAGCAGGAGAAGTGTCCTAAGAAACACAATCAATATCCTATCTTCTGAGCAGGAGAAGTGTCCTAAGAAACACAATCAATATCCTATCTTCTGAGCAGGAGAAGTGTCCTAAGAAACACAATCAATATCCTATCTTCTGAGCAGGAGAAGTGTTCTAAGAAACACAATCAATATTCTATCTTCTGAGCAGGAGAAGTGTCCTAAGAAACACAATCAATATCCTATCTTCTGAGCAGGAGAAGTGTCCTAAGAAACACAATCAATATCCTATCTTCTGAGCAGGAGAAGTGTCTTAAGAAACACAATCAATATCCTATCTTCTGAGCATGCTGTCAGTGTCCTATCCCCTAAATATAGTTACAGTTTGTTTACTAAAATTTTCCTGTAATAAATAACAGCAATTTAAAGGAATCTGTTTACTTTATAATTGGTGATGAATTTAATATTTTGTCTCTGATAAGCATGTATTTTTGTGAATCTTGATAAATACCGTAAAAATACGTGTATTTATAGAAAAAAATTAGTGCTTTTTTCACATTGTGCTGAACTTTAATAGTTGCAAATTTGTATTTAAGACAATATGTATTGTAACTTAGAACTGCTATATTTGTATTAAGAACATCCTTTTTTTTTAATTTGCAGTTTGTGTTTCTTAATCTCCCAGGATAAGGATAATTAGTTATTGCAAAATTTCCTGTCTCTGAATATTTTCTTTTTGAAAATTTCTTGTGGTTTTGCAGCTCACAGAACTTGGTATGTCTTCTATCAATCTTTTAAAATTATTGGATCATGTACGCTATTTTTATTTTATTGTTTGCGATGTGGAGATTACAAATTAGGGATAGTTAGATCTAAGTTTAAAGTTATTTCATCCTGAATAAAATGGGCAAAGTTAGAAACAGCAGACCAAGAAAACCTGGTATACCTGTTTGCCAAGGTTATGATGTTTCTAAGATGTTTGGAAAAGTGTTATTCATGAAAAGACTAAATTTTTGAGGTATTTAGTTAAACCATTTATTGGGCCGAGCTTGCTTTAATTATTATCATAGACAAAGAAAATCATGTGTAAAACTTGCTTAATATGCTATTTCAGAATGTTTATACCTGTTTGTGAATCTCTTGTGTTTTTAGTTATAAAAAAAAATGTCTAAAAAGAAAGAAAAAAATGACCTTTTGCTTCCCCGCAGCACCTGGTGGTGAAGAACCCTTAATAAAACAAGACTTTGCTTGTGGCTTAAGTTCAACAGTGACAAATATTTCTGGCTGTTTTGATGTTGACTTTTTTCCTGCAGAGGAAGCACTAAGAGCTGGATTAGATCCTATTGACTTGGATGGATTACAGATTCTTACAGATCCAGATATATCAGTAATTACTGATCCTGCCATGGAGGAAACATTTCGCTTGGATCGTTCATAGTTCTTTAGAGCTATCAGTCACTTTTAATTTTGTTCAAGAAGCGATAATATTTAAATTTCATGTAATTATTGTGCATTTACCCAGTAATGAAAATCATTTTATAAAAGAACGAATGTTTTTTGACTGCCAGAGTACTGAAAAAATGCGACAAATGAGTGCCAAAGAAAGGGGCACTTTAAAAAAAGTGCATGTAGCTTTTCTTGTAAAAAAAAAATAGGAAATTTAGAAATCACTTCTAAGCATTATTATACTACATCTAGCCAAAGAGTGGATTAACATATAAACAAGATCAAGAATAGGTTTATAATTTAATACCATTTTGAAAACGTACTACTAAATGATTTCAACTACTGCCTTATATTAGAATTTCTGGATTCTTACTTCATTAATACATTGAGCATCATTAAAGTATCAATACAGCTTTATCTATAACATTAGAACAGTGAAAAAACTGAATTTGTTTTTAAGTTTATGGGTTGTGAATATATTATCACCACCAAAAACAATGACTCTTGTATATTTCATGATTATGTTAGCCCTAGCAAAATCTCAGTGCTCGACCTATTAGTGTTTGTGATGATTTTTTTTTCTAAAGAAAGTGGTTCTAGTCCTTTTTGTGTTCTGTCCAGAGATTTTAAATGCACACTTGTTAATCTGTTTTTTCACAGTTCATTGCCAAAGATTAAGTCTTTAAGACTGATTAATGATTCTGTGTTTGATTGTCTGAACCTGTGCCCATTTTTATTGTTAAGTAAGTTTACGAGTTCATTTATACTATGTTTTCTTATATATATTTTATATACATTTACATATATATATATATATATATATAATACTGTTGCAGATGGAAATACCACCTAGGCAAAAAATGGGAAAACTCAAGTTGGCAATGTTGTGAATTATTCATAGGTTCTTATAATTCATTGATAAGACTTTTATTTTTTACTGGTTTGCGAGTTATTTACCCTTATAGTTTTCATGTATTTAAATTTAATATATATGTTTGTAGAAATGTCATAAAATGCTGTGATAAGTTTCTCAGTTTGTTTGTTTTTAAATTAAGAAACAATGTTATATTGATTGTTGACATTTTAAGTGAAATGTTGGTGAATTCTAAGCATTGTTTGTAACTTTCATAATATTCATATCAAATTTAAAATATTATTGGCACGTACAATCATTTCATTATATGACAAAAATAAGGTATTGATACTACCTAGTGTGTTAACACATTTAATTAATAGTTAAAACAGACTGAAAAGGTTTGGAAAGCAGTTGTGTTGAGAAGTTTTATCCTTGGAAGATGCATACACTGTGACATTAATTAACACCCAAGAGCAGTAGATGTCTGACCCTTAAAAGTGTAAGTGGTCATAGCTACTAATATATATATATATAAATAACAGCAAATTGCAACAAAGCTAGAGTATTGCAGAGAAGAGCTTGTTGATAAAGTCATAGAAATATCAGTAAAAATATTAACTAATTTGAATTATTGTATTATTTATGTAAATTTCATTGCAGTGTCAACATATTTTCTATAAAAAATTTTCTGTTCTGAAAATTCCAGAGTTCAATGCAAAATAAGGTATTAACTGTTTATTTTTTTTGTGCTCACTTACAAGAATGAAGTACAAGTGGCATGTTCATGAAATGAACGAGGCTAATATTAACCTCTAAGATAATAGAATGTAGAAGGAAACAAATAAGGTGAAAAACTTTTGAAATTAAAATTAGTCTACTGATGGATATTGAAACAAAAGTTTGGGGCAGCAGGTCTTTATTATGTTTCCAGTGAGAAGTAGATGAGAAGAGAAAAACTAATATTTTCCAGTTTTATGCATTTCCGAAAACTTAGCACAAGTTGTTGTAACAGAAGTTCTTGGAAATAGTAATCTGATCATTTCAAATTAAAGATTTTGTAAATTAACATTCCATGATAATTGCTGTGATGAAAGCCCAAGCATCAACTAAGTAATGTATAGACAATAATGTTATATTGTTTTAATATTGTACTTTTTTCAGTTGAAACTTATACAAAACAATTAGATCCATATACATTAAGATGTTGATCAATAGAATATTTTTAGGATACTTTTCAAACCATAGAAAATAGTGTCACGTGTGCCAGTTAAGTTTCATAGACTGAATCATAAAGCTGTGAAAGGTTTTTTTTTGTAATATTATTGTTTAAACCACTTTTATAGTGTGCACGGGAAAAGAAGTCAGATGTTTTTTTTGGTGATTTTGGACATTAGTTAATTGTTTCAAGTAACAACATTTGTGTCGCAAAGAGCAAGTGTGGTTCCAAGCATTAAAGAATTGGATACAATAAGAACATTACATGATTTTAGCCCTAGTATTATTTCGATCAACTGATCTTTGGATGAAAGAAAAGCACCAATTGTTTAAGGAAATGGTGTTTATCTCATGGAAAAACAAATTTGGTGATAACTAATAGATGGTTGATTAAGGTCAAAGTTTGTGAGAATGTAGTTTCAACCGCTAGATCACTGGTTTTACTTCCATCATGTTTGTTCTAATCAATCCTGTATCATATCAGAAAAGAACATCACCATGTTTTCACTTACTTTCTCTAAGCAATTATTTAAGAACACTGCCTCTGACTGTAATATATATGCTTATGTATTTATATTTTCAGATTACTGGAAATTTGAAGTTTTCATTTTTTTTTTTAGCAATTATATCTGTTTACTGGAATTATTTAACTTATTTTTTATTTATAGAACCAAACAACGAATTCAAAGAAAATCTGAATGGTTACTCGCATAGGAGACAATTTTAGAAGGTTTCTTCTACTCTGAATTTTGTTTTTGTTTTTTTTAGTTTGAACCTGAAATTATTAGATTTTGTAAATCACCAAAAATATTTCTTCTTTTAAGATGTAGAGACATTCTCTATTATATTTACAGTTTATATATATAACCGCTGTTTGTATAAAGAGTAGTGGAAGTATACATTTTTTGCTGTGCTGTTGTACACAAGTGACACTTTTTGAGGCTTTAGTTTGGAAAAATCGTACAATCACCAGTTTGAATGTAGAGTTAAAGACTTGATAAGACCTCATCTATATTTGAAAAAAAAATGATTTAAATGTATATTAAAATGAGATACAAGAATATTTGCCCAACAAATAAGCTAAAAAAAAATTTAATACTCTAATGGTAATAAAGTTTATTGAATATGAAGAGAAAACTTAAACACTAATGCCCTTTATATTTTCTATAGAGAATTGAAATTTGGATGATTTCTTTCTCAAATAACATTTGTGTCTTAAAGTGTTTGTAATTTCAAGTTTTGATAACTAAGATTTTTTTACGGGGGGTAAACGAATGTTTCACATGCTTGTGCCCCTTTAATAAATATTTTTTTGAAAGAAATTAGTTCTTTGAACAGGTTTTGTTTGAAAGTACAACTGCTGCATGAAATGGATGAGGACGGATGTAAACCAGTTTTTGTGTGTGTGGGTTGAACAGTGGTATATTCTAGATAATGTTTGAGTCAGTGTTTTATTTTGTGTATTGAACAGTGGTATGTTGTAGATAATGTTTGAATCAGTGTTTTATTTTGTGTGTTGAACAGTGGTATGTTCTAGATAATGTTTAAATCAGTGTTTTTTGTGTGTGTTGAACAGTGGTTTGTTCTAGATAATGGTTGAGTCAGTGTTTTTTGTGTGTTGAACAGTGGTTTGTTATAGATAATGGTTGAGTCAGTTTTTGTTTTTTTGTATGTTGAACAGTGGTATGTTCTAGATAATGTTTGAGTCTTTTTTGTTTTTTGTGTGTGTGTTGAACAGTGGTATGTTCTAGATAATGTTTGAGTCTGTTTTTTGTGTGTTGAACAGTGGTATGTTCTAGATAATGTTTGATTCAGTGTTTTTGTTTTTTTGTGTGTTGAACAGAGGTATATTCTAGATAATGTTTGAGTCTGTTTTTTGTGTGTGTGTGTGTTGAACAATGGTATATTCTAGATAATGTTTGAGTCAGTGTTTTTTGTGTGTGTGTGTTGAACAAGTGGTATGTTCTAGATAATGTTTGAGGCAATGTTTTTTGTGTGTGTTGAACAGTGGTTTGTTCTAGATAATGTTTGAGTCAGTGTTTTTTGTGCATGTTTGTTGAACAATGGTATGTTCTAGATAATGTTTGAGGCAATGTTTTTTGTGTGTGTTGA